CCTGTAATGGTAAAATACCAGAAAAGAAAACACCTTATACGGGTATAAGCTTTTTGAAGAAGAAATAAGAAAAGATTATTTGAAGGTTATTATTATTAATTTTTTTTGCCTCTCTAAAATTATTTTAGCATCTGATTATTCTTGCAAAGTAAATAGCAAAAGCGCTGAGTTTTCCATAGAAAAAGATTTTCCTTTAACACTTCATGTTTGCAGCACAGAGTTCATGGATTAACTGTTGAAATTAGAGTCATGGGTGCTTGTTTTCTGGGAAACTCTCCAGATTTCCAAACGCAAAGCACATGCAGCCCCTTATCAGTGAAATACTGTGAATTCAGTGGGCGCTTTTCAGTGGTGAACATGCATCATTAAATATTTTTAGCACCAAGGCATTTTTTTTTAATGTTGCAAAAGCAAACGCCTAGGGAGGGGTCTTGTCATATGTGACCCTTCCTAGGGCCAAGTAAAAATGAAGCGTTTAAAATAAAACCTCTTCAAACATACACAGACTTGATTCTAATGGAACAAGAAGTCTGAAACAGATACAGCCAACAGCATCCTGGAAGATGGAGAGAGAGGACAGAAAAAGATAAAATGTGCGAGGCTTTGCTTGCCAGCCATGGCCCGCCCTTACCATGGAAGAGGAAACACAAACACGTGGAAAGGCTGCCTGCTTGCCTGTGTAACAGAGAATGAGCAAACCTGCAGTCTAGACAATTCTGGGATTATACAGTACTTGGATGTCTATCTGCTACTTAGGATACTCATGTGCACCTATATATCCACAGTTAGAATCATGTTCTGTGCCATCTATGATGTCATAAGTACACACACAATCATGAAACATGATTGACTACCACCCTAGGCTGGGGCTTGCCTCCTGCTCCTGGGTGCACTAGAGAATTCCCATAGATGCTTCAGGTCCATCCAAAGCAGGAAGCTTCTCTTTGGTGCATATAGGGTTTCTATAAAACACGGTCCCAAAAAGAAACTTTCCGGTTGCAAGTCCACCAAAGAATGCAAGCTGGAATTGTGGACTAAAGAATTTTCTTGGTGGTTGGCGGAACTGGACTGCCGATACCCCCACAAGGCCCTACCCCGGGTAACTCCCTTCTCTCAAGGTGACATCTTCAAGTGCATGCTGTTTTTTATTTTGCAGTACTAAAGGTAGTAACTGGGGGCAATGATTTGGTATGCATTTTGTATATACTCATTTAAAATCCTTGTTAGGAATCTTAAGAGTCACATTCACCAAAAAACTAATGGAAATGTTAATATTCTGAAAGAAAAGAAAAATACACCTGAAATCCCCAACACATCTAAACTATCTTTCTTTCAAAAACTCTGCTGAGACTTAATGTTAACACCAAAACTGGATTTGTCCTATATTAAATAAGAACTCTAAATTTAAAAAAAAGAACTCCAAATAAACATTTGAGGTATGTTATGACAAACAATTTTTAATATAATGCCTAGCCAAATAAATGAAAATTTACCTCAAAAATCTAGTTACACATTAAATTTTGATGTTACCTATAGCTTATTTTATTTACACAAAAAAATGGTAACTTCTCTACTCTTCAGAAACAGACATATATCAAAACATGAAATACTCTAGACTCACTGTTTTATGGCCTCAGCTTGCCTTTGTTAACCAAAAACTTACTGTACATGTTATGTAGTATAAGAAGAGAATAATGGAGTCAGAGAAATCTGCATCTGAACCCTGACTCTGCCACTCTGTACAATCCTAAACAAAATACCTCTCTGAGCTTCAGCTTCTTATCTGTTTTAAAAAGAAGAATAAAATCTTTGCAAGGTTATTGAGAGAATTAAAATGAATAATGTATATTAAGCACTAGACAAAATGCTTTGCAAATAGTCAACACTCAACAAATGCTAATCCATCTCTCTCTGATTCTTCTTTTCCCCATCCCAACAACTTGATTCTGAATGACTCTTGACTGTTTTCGAGAATTAAATCCACCTACAAAGAGTAAGAATTTCATGCTAAGTAACATAACCAAAAGAATGTGTTCCAACCACCCATCCCACCCCTGGAAGTTCCTAAATTAATAGGCCGAACTCAAGGATATTATATATGTGTATTAAAGCCAAATAATATGTGAATTTATAGAATTTACAAGGGAACAAGATGAGCTTTTCCAAAAAAAGTAACTTAAAGCCCAAGCTCATTGAAGAGTGGTTACTAAAACTTCTAATAGGAGCTGTACCTATAAAGTATTGTGATTAATTTAATTAACAAACATAAGACCTTATATATACAATTAAATGGTATCATCTACAAAATAGTCATGTTACTTGGCTATGTAATAGTCCAATGATGCTACCATAGCCCAAAGGATTTGGGGAATAACTCTTAATTGGTACATATTCCAAAACTTTACTTTCTCATTATTTTTACTACTTTGCCTACATTCACCAATACATTAATGGTATAGCTGTTATCGATAGGTAGCAGACACTTGAGGAAATACAATATTAACATTGTGGTACACATTTCAGACCAATTTCTTTGAGTTCTTGCCTAATCATCCCAAAAGATGTCATAGAAGGGCAGATGGTAATTGGATAAAATGGCACCTGACCAATGATTGTTGAACTGGGTGACTGTTCAGGACAAACAGGTAGGAGTGTTTCTCTAATTACCCCTATTATGTCTAATAATCTCAGCTACCTACCAAAATTCTCTCAGTGCAACATCTTAACGATCAAGAGGGAAATTAAGAAAACACTCCCCTTCAAGCTACATATCTTCAGCTCCCACACCAAAGGAAACTCTCTCTTCTAAGGGATCAAAGATCTTCCATAGAGGATAAAGGGAAACCCTGAGGTCCCAGAGTAGATACTAAGTTAACCAGCAAGGTTTTCTGAAAACCATCAGAAATATATACCATTTTGACCAAAGTCAGATACCACTGCAATTACAATCTTGGCAAGACTGCTCACCTCCCTGAGAGCCAAGCCTAAGGACCAAAATGGAAGGCCTCCCCTTGAGAGCACTAGCCCCACCCCTTGTAGACTTCTTTCAGTCTAATAGTGATAACACTGTCCACAAACTACACGCAACCAAGAGAACCACGTGACCAATGTCATTCCCAGAAAGGGAGGGGAACAAACCTGTACCCAGGGAGTTCACACAATTCCACCTGGGCAGCCCAGCAAGGACAGAGGGCAAAAAGCCTGAATCATGGAGCAGTCTGTCATGTCAATCAGATCTCTTCTATGAATGAGGGTAAACCAAAAAGAGCAAGGCATCTTCCAAATTAGCCCTGCATAAGCAGAGGTTTCTTGACAGAAGCAGTTCACAATTATAACAGTACTTGAAGCTTACAGTCCCTCTCGGCCATATTCCATGAGTTACGTGCTTTCAATCCATTTGTGCTGTCAGGAGGCTTCTGTCTTAAGAACCATGTAAAAAGCATTCTGTGTGGTACCTAAGTCAAAATGATGTGCTGGGAGGTACTGAAAAGAATGACAGATCATGAATGAACCCAAAGTACATTTAGGAACAGAAAAGTCCTCTCAGAATCGGTGCGGGAAGGTTACGGTAGGAGGGGATCAAAGGGGGGTACAAAATGATTCTAACTCTGATGAAGTTGTGTCAGTACAATAGACTGGTTTGTTTTTGGTAATTTTCATTCATTATTTAGGATCGCAATCGGGGTCCCACTCACTGATCTCCCTCCTCCTGTATTCCAAGTGATTTTCATGCTCCAGGTCCAGCTTTCCTGATGTAATTACCCATTTTCAAGAGCAACCACAGCAATGTTCTGTCCGGAAAAAAAGGAAAAAGTACAGATCTGCCAGTGCTTTCAAGATATAACCCAAAGGCCCAGGTGGGACGTACCCCAGCAACTTTGTGGGCCCTTAGGAGCTAAAGGAATTTCTGCAGCAATTTGCTTGGATAACCATCATTTTCTTCCCTTATGGTGGATCCCAAATTACAGTTCCTAGTCGTATAGTTGAGCACACTAGTTTTAAAGCCTCTTAGGAAAGAATACCAGAGTTTATATTCAAGTTATCAGATTTAGGATTCAGCAGCCTCTTTATAACTACCTTGTTGGGGCAGACAGACTAAGAGAGAATGTCTTATGAAATGAAATAGCTAGTCTTTTTATCACATGATGCATATGGTTCCTTTGAAGCATTTAAAAAATTCTACCCGAGCCGGACTCGGTGGCTCAGCCTGTAATCGCGCGCCTTTGGGAGGCTGAGGTGAGTGGATTGCCTGAGCCCGCGGGTTCGAGACCCGCCTGGGCAGGCAAGACCTCATCTCTACAATAAATCAAAAAATCAGCCGGGCGTGGTAGCCCGCGCCTGTAATTCCGGCTACTCGGAAGGCTGAGTCGGAAGGATCGCCGGAGCCCAGCAGGTCGAGGCTGCGGTGGCCGGGAGCGGCCACTGCACTCCAGTCTGGGCGACAGAGTGAGACTCCAACTCAAAAAAAAAAAAAAAAATTCTACCCGATGTATAGAACTCTGCTATGGCTTAAAATGCTATTAACAGTACTGCAGGGAAAGTTTAGCTTCCTTATTTCAGAAACATATCTACTTTATTCTGTGAAAGCAAAAGTAATAGGTCGCACGTACATCTTTCCAATCAAATTGCATAGTTGAGGCAAATGCATTTGTGCTTTGTAGCAGAACTCACAGTAGTTGTTCGTATCTAAAAACTTTTGATTTGTAAATGCAAGGCCATGGCCAAGTTCACCCTTGATCGGCATGTATGCTAATGATATGCACCACCATTCCCCTTCCCAAAATTGTGTTCACCATGCACCTCAGCCTAGACCATAGTGGAGCATGACACAGCAGCAGTGGTAACAGATCTAAATCCTCCTTCTTGGAGAGAAGCGGGGGAAAGGCTCTCAGTCTTGTTGAGGTATCCAGCCCTCAATCAGTTGTGGCTGTGTGTACTGAGTTTTGTTGGTTTGAGGACTGTGTCTGTCGAGGTTTAAAAAAGAAAGAAAAGAAGAAGGCACGGTTGTTTCTCAAGTCGCCATATTCAACTCAACCCACACAATCAACTTTTTCCATTTTCAAGCTTTGGGAGAGTGGTTACAAGGCCGCAGGACTCTCTTCCAGCCCCGGGTCTGCAGAGGAACTTATTGCTTCTGGGAAGGGCCCGGGGTAGGTCTGGGCTGTGTACTGGATCCCTTTTTGCAGACCAGTCTCTTCGTGGAATTCTCCCTGGGTGCTGAAAGTGGGACAAGATCTAGTCCGGGCGTTGTCGGGGTGGCCCACACTCTCGCTCACAGTGCTCAGGGGGAATTCTCTCCACCTCCGTCTCTGCAGTGCATCCTCCTTGTATTTGATGGAGTACCAGGCCAGAAAAATAAAAATAAAGCCAAGGAATTTGAGGCCGGCCGCCAAACCAAAATAGACAAAACGAAATGATGTCACGTTGTACTCCCAGCAAGAGCCCTGCACGCCACACTCCTGTTGCCAGAGCATGCAGGTGGTGTCAATGACCGCTCCGAAGTAGATTGGAGTAGGAATGTATGCTAGAGTGGTGGAGAAAAAGAAAATATAAAGATTTAGCCTCCACCTTATAAGATAAAATAGATTCTTACACTAGCAGGGTATTGTTTGCCCAGTTAAGAGGAGTGATTTTCTTATGTTATCTGATTTTTTTTTTTTTTTTTTTTTTTTGAGTTGGAGTCTCACTCTGTCACCCAGACTGGAGTGCAGTGGCCACTCCTGGCCACCGCAGCCTCGACCTGCTGGGCTCTGGCGATCCTTCCGCCTCAGCCTTCCAAGTAGCTGGAACTACAGGTGCGCGCTACCTCGCCAGGCTGATTTTTTGATTTATTGTAGAGATGAGGTCTCGCCAAGTTGCCCAGGTGGGTCTCAAACCCGCAGACTCAGTCAATCCACTCACCTCAGCCTCCCAAAGGCGTGGGATTACAGGCCAAGCCACTGAGCCCAGTTGATATTCTTAAAGGGATACATCACATTTCATCAGAATATATTTAGCATAAAAACATTCAATACATGGTAAATACTTAAGATCTTCTTGTTTGCAACTCAAAATGTGCTATTGACTTCTAAGATCATAAAAATATCTACGGTTTATATGCATATATCAAATCATCACAATATACATTCCAAATAGACACAATTTTATTTGTCAATTATACCTCAATAAAGCTTTAAAAAAAGTCTATTGCTATAAATGCAATTAGAGAATCTTTTTAAACTTAAATATTGGATTTTGTCATTAAATATTCAACTGCCAGGGGATGGGGGGGGTGGGATTGGCAGTAGTGGGAAACTGCTGGGGGAGAGGTACAACTCATCAACAAGGGTCCCTGAATAATGAACATTTGTATACCTAACCCTGAATTGCACCCCACATCTTTAAAATAATAAATAAATAAACCAAAAGGCAAGTATAAATAAATAAATATATATATATATATTCGAGACTATATTAGAACTCAGTGCTAGAACAACAAAATTCAGTACACTTAGTTCTTGTGGGTTGGGTTCCAGTCCTTGGATGCAGGAAGAGTGTGAGAAAAGCACTGTCTTCTACAGGTCAGATGCCACATAAAATGGCAATTTTACAAAGGCATTTATGAATATAAGGAATTATAAAGGAATTTGATTATGGCATGAAATTCATCTTTGAAGCTTATGAAACATCTGAGATGAGAGAAGTAGCTTCATTGGGCTGGGACGTACACATTTCTTTAATCCCATAAGAAAGAAAGTCCACTAGCTGGGCTCGGTGGCTCAGCCTGTAATCCCGCGCCTTTGGGAGGCTGAGGTGAGTGGATTGCCTGAGCCCGCGGGTTTGAGACTCGCCTGGGCAACTTGGCGAGACCTCATCTCTACGATAAACCAAAAATAAGCCGGGCGTGGTAGCGTGTGCCTATAGTTCCAGCTACTGGGAAGGCTGAGGCGGAAGGATCGCCGGAGCCCAGCAGGGTGAGGCTGCGGTGGCCGGGAGCAGCCACTGCACTCCAGGATGGGCGACAGAGTGAGACTCCAACTCAAAAAAAAAAAAAAAGAAATAAAGTCCACGAACTACACAGACTTCCCTCAGCACATGCCATTCCTTTGCTAAGATGTGCCCCCACCCCCAACTCGCTCACTTGCAAAAATTCACCTCCCCTTTTAAATTCCTGACTCACTCAGTTGCCACGGTATTCTTGCACATGCCTCCATTTTATTAACTATTACACAGCATTAGACTGTTTGCATATCTGTCACCTTTGGTGGTAAGAGCCATACCTTTTATTCTTTGTATCCGAGGGACCTCAATAAGAGTTTAAAGAAGAACTAGATGGACAGAGAAAGGGAAGAAAAGAGAGAAGCAGGGAAAGAAGACAAGAAGAGAGAAAGGAAGAGAGGACAGCAAGTGGACTGATAACTCAGGAAGCTATGATACTTTTTAAATAAGTTGTTTTTATTGGTCATAAGGTCTACCAATTAGATTTTAATATTAACTTTTTTTTAATACTCTTTTTTGCTTTGGAATTTTGGGGAAATGAAAGTTGGCTAGTTGACCTAACTATATGTTTTCACAGTCAGTAAGTTAGGATAAAGTTGAATTAAGTAATAAAAGCCTGAAATATTCTCCCCTCACTTATTCTTGCTGCTGTAGCATACATCTGTTTGTTGGCTCATCTTACCTCCAAATCCATGTTAAATAACTCCAACTCTATGATGTCAGAGAGGGTAGAGAAAAAGAAGAAACAACTTTTTTCTTTTCCTATTTAACCCTTTGGTTAACAAATTTCCTTCTTTCTAAAATAACACTTTTTAGTTTTCAGTGAAAAGTATAAGGCAAATTTCTTTTTTTTTTTTGAGTCAGAGTCTCACTCTGTCACCCATACTGGAGTGCAGGGGGCATGCTCACTGCCACTGTAGCCTCGACCCGCTGGGCTCAGGCAATCCTTCCACCTCAGCCTTCAAGTAGCTGGAACTATCGGCACGTGGACCACATCCAGCTTATTTTGTGATTTATTGTAAAGACAAGGTCTCACCAAGTTTCCCAGGCTGGTCTTGAACCCCTGAGCTCAGACAATCCTCTCACCTCAGTCTCCCAAAGTGCTGGGATTACAGGCTGAGTCACCGCGCCCAGCCTACATTTCTTAACTATGCATAAGTGTGTCAGAATTTCCTTTGACCAGTGAGCTTTTAAAAGCAAGGCACGCACTAAATGAAACTGGAAGCATTCTTCCTCTGGGATTGAGGAAAAGAACTCCTTGGTCGGAGCCATCAGCCACAACATATGACAAACTCAGAATGCCAGAGGATTAATGCTTCAAAGGGCCAGAGGATGCCACTTTGAAATGTTTCATACTTCAAAACTGAAACAAGAAATTTGAATCCAAAAAAATCCAAATTTTTTTTTGTCTTCTGGACAATGATACTGATTACTAGGGGAAAAATAGCAGCTGAAGAAAAGGACAAACTGTCACTTAAGAAAGAAAAAATTATTTTAAAGAAGAAATGACCTTGATGAAGAGGTCAATTAAAAGTACACTGAAATTGATCAGGGGAATGGTGTCCGTGGACTTCCCAAGGTGGTGTTTGCAAAAATAAGAATGACATTCTTCTTGCATAAACATGTTCTGTGATTTGTCATACTGACACAGCACTAATGAGCTTCTCTTGTTAAGTAAAGCCTTATAATCCTTATATGTCACTTTGAGGACCTCTCCTTCCTTTTTAGAATTTTTTCTTTTTAAGAAAACTTGATAGGTATACTTTTTGCTCATTCCAATAAAATGACCATAAAGAAGAAAGGAACTGAAAATTTCACAGATGAAATGAACATCAATTTCTATCACTTTCATATTAAAAAGGCATAAGGGGGTCAAAAGGCAAGGATTGCAGACTCACTACAAATTACTTGGCTTAATATCTCTTACTGTACAAAAATCTTTGGGGGAATTTTGCCCAAGTTTATGTTTACAATGAAAAAGAAACTAACCTAAAGTTGGTTTGCTTTTGCTTTATCCAATGACAGAACCGGTCCGCTTTTAGTCCAAATCAGAAAATAAGGAAGTTGAGCCCTTTCCACTAACCTGCAAAATCTCACTAACGGTAACAAATGACTTGACTTGCCATTTTTAAAGGACAGTGAGAATCTATCATCTGCAAAGAGGAACTAAGAGGCACACTTGGAAATTCAGGAACGTACCAAGTGTTCGCAACAAAACAAACTGCATTCCCAGCGCAAAAGGTCTCTCCTCATCTTCTACGGACCTAAGGGAAAGAAAGAAATGTTTTAAAACCATGGCCCCAAGAAAATGAATGTCAAATCACGTCTGCTTTGTGCAGTGCCAGGGACTAAAGAAATGCTGTGCCAAAATATTTATTTCACTAGAATTTTCTAACAGTTGCACGATTGCTGATGGTTAAATCACTGAATAAAGGTCCCTCCAATGAAGACACCCAAGAAATTCTGACTGACTCTAATTGTTTCTATAATTGTTGTTGGAAGGTGAAAGACTCCTGTCTGAAGAGGCTGAACTGGCTCTAAGCTCACATAATCAGATCTGTTTTTTTTTTAAACTATATAATTTCATCCTAAATACTGCATTGTTTTTCTTTGCGTGCTTACGCTTTCCAGATGGTAGATGTATACAATGAAAATTAATCCAATAATTTCTGCAGGATAGGAAAGAAGTAAATAAAAACAAAACCAGAAAGTATATTCAAAAAATGTACAGGAAACAAGTTCAATATCAGAGAAAGCACGAGCTCCTCCCAACAACCTCTTTTTTTTTTTCTTCTTTTCTTAACACTTTTACTCCAAGTAATTCCCATGTGGCAATTGGGAATTGATTTTGTAATTAGCAAAGATTAAAGGGCTCCTTTTCTGAAATTTTGGGTTAGCAGCCAGCTGGGCATCTGCCATATTTGAACACTATTTAAAAAAGTAGCCTGTCTATGGGTTATTTAACATCTCTTGCAGGATTAAAGTGCAAAGAGCAGCCAACAGATACATGAAAAAATGCTCAGCCTCACTAATCATCAAAGAAATGAAAATTAAAATCACACTGAGATACCATCTAACTCCAGTCAGGATGGCCATTATCAATAGCTCAAAAAAACAACAGATGTTAGAAAGGATGTGGGGAAAAGGGAATGCTTCAACACTGTTGGTGGGAGTGTAAACTAGTACAACCTCTGTGGAAAGCAGTGTGGCAATTTCTAAAAGATCTAAAAATTGACCTTCCATAAGACCTAGCAATCTCCCTTCTGGGAATATACCTGGAGGAACTCAAATCACTCTATTAAAAAGATACCTGCACATGCATATTTATTGCGGGATTATTCACAATAGCAAAAACATGGAACCAATCGGGCTGCCCAATGAAAGTGGACTGGATAAAGAAAATGTGGTACATATACACAGTGGAATATCACACAGCCATAAAGAAAAACAAAATTATGGACTTCACAGCAACTTGGATGGACTTAGAGTCTATAATACTGAGTGATCTATCACAGAAACAAAGATCTGAGTACTACATGTACTCACTTATAAGCAAACCCTGAACATTTATCATGATACTATAAGAAAGGGATTGGCAGTAGTGGGAGGACATGGCCGCAGAGCAGGGAGCCACGTAACATCAATAAGGGTACTCAAACTTTACTTATGCACATCTTTAAAATAAAAAAGTGGAAAGAATTAGATTATTTGAGTACATTTAACAATGATTCACATGTCTTTTATTTTGTTTTTTATTTTATTTTGCTTTATTTTTATTTTTTGAGTCAGTCTCACTCTGTCACCCAGGCTAGGAGTGCAGTAGCACGATCGTGGTCACTACAGCCTGGACCTGCTGGGCTCAGACGATCCTTCTGCCTCAACCTCTCCAGTAGCTGGATCTACAGGCGCGGCCACCATGCCTGGCTAATTTTTTGGTTTATTGTAGAGACAAGGTCTCACCTAGCTGCTAGACTGGTCTCGAACCCGTGGGCTCAGGCAATCCTCTTTTCTCGGCCTCCCAAAGTGCTGGAATTATAGGCAGTCACCGCACTGGCCTCGTGTATCTTTTTTTTTTTTTGGAGTTGGAGTCTCCCTCTGTCACCCAGACTGGAGTGCAGTGGCACACTCATGGCCACCATAGCCTCGACCTGCTGGGCTCAGGCGATCCTTCCGTCTCAGCCTTCCAAGTAGGTGGAACTACAGATGCATGCCACCACGCCCGGCTAATTTTTGTGACTTATTGTAGAGACGAGGTCTCACTAAGTTGCCCAGGCTGGTCTCGAACCCCCAGGCTCAGGCAATCCTCTCGCCCCGGCCACCCAAAGTGCTGGGATTACAGGCTGAGCCACCGTGCTCGACCCTCATGTATCTTTTGAAACACTGCAGTACCTCATCCTTTCCATCCCATACCCATGGAGTTCCAGATATATAAACGGGAACCTCCTAGTACCAGGGTCCTTGTCGTCTTTCCCTCAACTTCTTTATTCCTCATAGCAACTTGCCCAGAGCTGTGCACAGGTTGTTCTTCCAAAAATATCTGCTGATTGAGTGAATTAACCAGTGGGCCCTTTAGTATACTGTCATTTTGCTGTCAAGGCCCGGCTTTGCGGGAAAATGCCTGACCCTGCGCCCAGCAGCAAAGAAGCCAGAGCGCGCAGCCCAAGTGCCCTTGCTAAGCAACGACATCTCAGCAAGATACTTCCTGCCAGGTGCCCAGCACTATGGATTCTGGGGGGCCCAAAGGAAGAACAAGGACTGCCTCCTTTTCCTACCCGCTCATTGTGCGATGCCCCCTGGTTTCCCCAAAGCTGCCCCACACTGTGGATGAGCTCTTCCGACTGTCCTATTCCTTCCTTTGCTCACTGCAGGCCTTACTGCAAGTACCAACACGCTGATGTAAATGTGCCAGCGTCAACATTTTTAAAAGAACAAAAGTAGCTTCCGGGTTCTCTTATAAACAAAAGAGCCCAACAGGATACAGCAAGGAAAGCAGAGCCTGAACAACTAAAAGAAAAAAACAAATCACATTTCCCAGTCTACCCTATTCTTGATTCAACTCCAAAATTTTATATGATAGTACATAATGAACTCAGCATTTTGAATTGCAGGCCCAGCACAAACTCCCGCTGATCCTGGAGGTATTACCTATCTACAAGGTTGGAGATAATAGCCTTTGCTGTATGCACGATTTAGCAACTTTCCCAAATTGCTTTCTGCTCTCCCCTGGGGTCCAGCTTCTCATAGTTAACAGGGTTTCAATTCTAGAAGTTGAACCTCTCAGGGCAGAGACTTCAAGAATCAAAGGCACCCACAAGACATTTCATTAAACAATAGGAAGACAACTCAACTGAATACAGACAGTTCTTGGAGCATGAAATGGTACAAATGTCCTTCCCTTTCTGACAGGGAAAAACTTTTAAGATCACCAGGCAAATGTCTGAATGCCCTCCTGCACAATCTAATGTTGCTTTGCTCTCTAATTTATGACTTCTGTCCCTTGTGCTGAAAAATGTACCCTGGCAATCCTAAGTATACAACACACCCCAGAAGTCGAATGCCGTTCTCACCTGAGTGTTACTATGATGGCTGATGGTTGGGCACATGCCGTGATGAAGGTGACTATGAAAAGAAAAACTAAGAATGGGATAAGGGTATTACAGGTCCGTTTACACTTCCCAGACACAGCGTAACCATTCTCGTTGAGATACGTTTTGACGATAACCACCCGGAGCTGACCGCGCTGTCCTACTGTGGGTGGCGTGATCACTTGCCGACTTTGGACACAGGTGCATTCTGTATAATTCCGTATCTAAGTAAGCAAAATAAAGATCAGCTGTATGCCAGCCAAAAGGAAAATGGGGCGTAGGAATGTTAAGACAAAGTTAAGTAAAAATACTTTAAAAGAACTCTAGTATTTTTAAAATGCAAACGAGTTCACAGAAAGTAACTTCCCCCTTGATAATAGTAAGGTCAAGGTACCAAAATCTGCTGGTCAAAACGGCCTAAACCTAAATTTTTCTAAGACGCTTTCAACACTCAATTCGGTAACATTCACATCCGTATGCTCATTTTTGGTCATATTTATATACTGCCTCAATTGCTGTTTAACTCTTGGGCTCTTCAGTGAGAGAAGTCCTCAAAAACCAGAACCAAGCCTTATTTTTTTTTTTTTTTTTTGAGTTGGAGTCTCATTCTGTCGCCCAGACTGGAGTGCAGTGGCACACTCCTGGCCACCGCAGACTCGACCTGCTGGGCTCCAGCGATCCTACTGCCTCAGCCTTCCAAGTAGCTGGAACGACAGGCGCGCGCTACCACGCCCAGCTAATTTTTTGATTTATTGTAGGGATGAGGTCTTGCCAACTTGCCCAGGTGGGTCTCAAACCCACGGGCTCAGGCAATCCACTCACCTCAGCCTCCCAAAGCGGGATTACAGGCTGAGCCACCGAGCCTGGCTTCAAGCCTTATTTTTATTTGTGCTCAGCAGAGAACCTAGCACAACCCTGAGCACAGAGTGGGCCTAAAGTAGAAAATGTCTGTGAAGTAAATGCAGATAAGATCATAGTGCAACTGTGATGACTTCAGTACCAATAATAATAAAGATCATTTCATTGGCTGTTCCATTTAAACACCATTTTAACCCCTTTAATTAGCTAGTGTCCCACACCCTGTAGATGAGGACCCAACTCCGTAGATGTGACTTGAATCTGACTACTACGACCCCCACCCAGTGCTGCTCCTGGACTCTGACAGAGTCAGATGACGAGCCTAAATTCACTCATTTGTTTTTTTCCCCTAACAAATATCTGTGAACTCCTACTGACGTGACAGGTGCCATGCTAGGGAACTGAGGATAAGGAAGAGTAAAAGAGTCAAATCTTCTCTGTTAACTACCAAAATTTCTACTTAAATATAAAAGTGAAAAAATAAAACACTATTGGGTGTTACAGGATACCAAAATAAGCCAAAAGAACGTTGAATCTGCCAATTACCCTTCCTCCTATGATGCTGCTGTTCACTGAATGGACATTGGCTGAACTGGGTCTCAATGTGACCTCTGAACACTTACAGCAGCATAAGAACAAGGATGAAGATAGGCTGCTGTCTGGCCATCATGCGCAAAGGACTGCTGGCATTTTAAAAGAATGGGTGCTTATTCCCAAGGAAGGACCTAGCTACTGAGAACAGATCTCACTGCCTCTTTCAACATGGTCCTATACTGGGGTTCACCAATGATGTAATGGGAAACCAGCAACAGGAATTCTCAATTTAATCACTGAAGTTTCGAACTCAAATGAAAAAATGACATTCCAAAACCACTCAATCAATAGTATGAGGAGGGACCCCAAAAACCTGGGATTCATTTATACAAAACTATATATTTATTCCTACATGTTTAGATTTCAGTCACCTTCAAAGTACTCCATTTGATGCAATATACCTAACGAGACACTTTTTCCACTGCTCAAACCAGTTTTTGAACTCATCAATTTTGATGCATTTTAGTGCTCTGCAGTTTTTTGTTTCACCTCTACAGTCGACAAAATGTTTCCCTTTGAGGACTTTTTTCATCCAAGGAAACAAAAAAACGAAGCTCAGGCCAAGATTGGGTGAATAAGGAGGGTGAGGCATAGGAGTCATGTCATTTTTATTGGTCAAAAACTGCTAAACACTCAGTGCAATGCGAGCTGGTGTGTTGTCGTGGTGGAAGAACCAGTTTGTCACAATTCAAGACATTTCTTCCACAAATCATGATGCAACCTTTTCAAAACTTTGACCGTTTGATCCAGAGGAACAAATTTAAAGTGTACTACAAGGGGCTCGTCCTCCAAAAGATAATTCCATTTTTGGGGTGTCCCCCCTTGTATGATCCCTTATCACCTGCATAGAACAAGCAAATACAGTTTAACCTTTCAATGATGAAAACGACTTCCTACAATCTGTTCTTATTACACAAAGAATCAAACCAGGCTCAATAAAAAACTGACTAGAATATGAAAACCTTCTCCCAACTATTACAGTCTCTATATAACTCACGGGAAAGGGAATTCTCGAAATAGCCTATTCTTGAACTGTCAGAAGTGTCTTTACTCTAAAAGTTTTATTTTAAAAAAAAAAAAGCCTGAACTGAACTAAGTCTATGAAAAATAGCCATTGCCCATCTTCAAAGACTCTGATCAGGGGAAGTGCTCTCCTGTTCTCTTTTGTCAGCACCAAATGTGGTCATCTTGACCTTCAAACCCATCGCAAGAGCCCTGTCATAGGAACAAGCAGAGGCCCAGAGCTCAACCTGATCAAGTTTCACTGAGTTGGCACAGAATATAATGAGGGAGAGGACTGATGTGGAACCAAATCCCTGCACCCAAATGCACTCATCCCCAGGAAAAAAAAAAAAAAAATGATACACTGCGTACTTTTCCTTCCTCTAGGTTTTCATCAGAGGTGTTTTGTTGGTTACTTGGAGCCTCTTGAAAAAGGAGACTGAAGTCATTGTGGTTGCGTGTGGATTCTGTCACGTCCTCGTCACAGGGTGTTGGATTAAAAGAGGAATTTTTGAAATATACTCACCCCAGTGCTAAGATTACCACTATTAACACAGCCAGCCAGACAAGGGTTAAAGTATGTAATTCCATCTGATCCACAGACTGGCTCATACTCATGTATTTTACAACCACAGTTAACGTTGCAGCTTCCTGTCAGATTCCTATGGGGCATGGTGAGAGAAGGTCTAGGAGAGAAAAGAAGGAGATCGTGAGCAACACTTACCAAAATAAAACTCTAGGGAAGTTCTTAAAATTTAGTAATTTGTCCATTTTAGAGAAGATATTCTTCCCATCAAATCAAAGCTATGATAATATGGAGAAGTGCACTCCCCTCACCCCCAGCAATTAGTTTATGACTTTAAAACAAAAACCTAAAGAAAAATGTTTTAACCTTCTGGTACTACAGAGTCAATACTTTTATATCTAATTATCTGCCCTACCTTCATTTTACCCTCCATCTTGCAATGGGCCTGGTCTTACCATCTGGGCTCAGTAAATTCTAAACCTAGCATAACTACACACTTACTGTAGGCGCTTGGCTCTATGTTTCAACAAATCTGTGCCTCAATTTCTTACTTGTAATATAGAGGAAATTCTTTACAATATCGAATCCATAACATCATTGTGAGTATATAAACATGGAATCCATCATCACAGTTATCAATATAGGTGCCTTTGACCAAAAACTTATATAAATTCTCAAAGAAAATCAAAAGGAAGGGATTTTTAAAGATATTAGGACTCATACAACTAGTTTAATTCAAAAGTCTAGAGAATAAAGATTAATCAGTTCTTTCCTCAGGAATGCCCAAATATGGATTCACAACAAAACCCACATTATAGTGGGATTTGCTTTCTCATGAGATCATGGTGTCTGATATAAAGAAACGATCCAATATGAAAAGCTCTAAGAAAATCAGATCAGAAAACAAATAAGCAGAGGAGGAAAGCAAGTAAGGATGCAGGGCTGAAGAGAGTAGTATGAAGAAAGCAGCAGGACCCAGGGGAAACCCCCGGAAGAAGGAAAGCAGTCTGCAGTGCTCATGTCCCGTGATAATTTGGCTTTTGTGACCACCTTGTCAGGCATCACTGATGAAACACTGTTCCTAAAACTGTACGAGTTAGCAATAGCAGGTCCTTCATTCATTCATTCCTGGATCCATTATCAACTCATTCAACAAATATTTTGAAATATTACGTGCCAGGACTTATCTTCACTGACCTACTTTATAACAAGTAGGGATTCATGAATACACTATGTTCAAGCCACATGGCTTAAAATATTGCAATTCACGCAGTAAAAAACCTCCTTAGCAAAATGTACTAATCAACTAGAAAAATTGGTGTCTTTCTTCTCATTTTTTAATCTTCATAAATTTATCTCGGTCTTCAAAAAGACTTCAATCAGAGTGTTTTCTACTTCACTTAAATTCTCGGCTTTATGTTAAAATACTTCCTTGGCTATATAAAGCTATGCAACTTTGGGTTTATAGTTACCATCAGCAGCAGCCGCCGCAGCATATCAAACATGTCCAACAGCATAGCCTATCCCAACCACAGGTTTTTTTCTTGTGGCCTCTTTCACACTTTGATGATGACTAAGTCCTCACATTTTAATGGAATAAACAAATTCAATACAAAGTCCCATCAAGAAAGCCTTTCAACAAGGTGAAAGTCAAATAAATTTAGTTCTTTATTCATGTCATTTCACAGGGGGATTAAAATTATCTCAGGACATTGTTAACCATTACATTCACAAACTCCAAATGTCACACCATTTTAAAGTGTGAATATACCTAAATATATATATATATATATATCTGATTCTAGAGCAGTGGTACTCACCTGGGGCAATTTTGCTCCACCCTCACCAGGGGACACTTGGCAATAACAGGTTGCCAAATGTCCGGGTTGTCATAACTGAAAAATTGCTATGGGCATCCTATGGGCAGAAGCCAGGGGTGCTTCTAAACACCCTGCAATGTGCAGGACAGCCCCCAACTCCCACGACGAAGAATTATCTGGCCCAAATGTCAACAGTGTGGAGGATGAGAAACCCTGTTCTAGATCAAATACCACATTCTACACATGATGAGCCTGAGGCCAAGAAGACCAAGTGATTTACTATGAAACTGATTAGTGTTATGCTAATTGTTGTGATAGGAAAAGCATTCAGTGTATACATCAGTTTGCTCTTTGCCAACTCTCTAAGAACTCATTCATAAGCCATGACCAAATAAAAGGACTTTTATATGTCTGGATGGTTAGTCGCCAGAAATGACAGTCTTCAATGTCGTACTAATGGTTGTTATTGTTGCTGCTTAGAAGTTACACGGCATTTCCTAGGACAGCATGCTTTGCATTCATTTGTGACAACCACAGACTTCAAGCATCTCTCCTTGATGAGTATGTCCACTTAAGAGAATGGAACCTGCCGGGCTCGATGGCTCAGCCTGTAATCCCGCGCCTTTGGGAGGCTGAGGTGAGTGGATTGCCTCAGCCTGTGGGTTCAAGACCCGCCTGGGCAACTTGGCGAGACCTCATCTCTACAATAAATCAAAAATTAGCCGGGAGTGGTAGCACATACCTGTAGTTCCAATTACTTGGAAGGCTGAGGCGAAAGGATCACCAGAGCCCAGCAGGTCGAGGGTGCAATGGCCGGGAGTGGCCACTGCACTCCAGTCTGGGTGACAGAATGAGACTCCAACTCAAAAAAAAAAAAGGGAATGGAACCTAAGGAAAATATCAACAGATGCTCAAAACAAATGATTACAGGAAAGCAGAAGGCATTTTGAGTTTTGGAAACAGGAGCACAGTCCCAGGCGAACCCTGAGTGTGTTTGCTTTTCTTATGAGATCGTGATGTCTGACATGAAAAAATGATACAATATGAAAAGCTTTAAGAAAATCAATATAGGCAACAAATATAAATAGCAATGAAAGGAGGTGGGCATTCATAAAAAGTCATTAGAGGAAGAGGCAATTGGGCCCACACAAAAAGCTGCTGACATACATAGTTCATCCTTGTGCTAATTTTAAAAAATCATTTTTAAGAATAAAAATGGTCATTCATTTTCCAAAAACCACACTGAATTCTAATAATAGTGTAGATGTTTACACCTGAGTCACACTAAGCAACTTCTCATTAGCCTGAAGTGAACCATCACAGGGGCATGAAATGCACAAGGGTTACTTCCTAGAAGCTGCCCGAATCCCTATGTAAAGGGACTGTGCATCTTTCCAACAAATGAAGACATTTCTGACAAGACAGTCTTCCAAGTAAGAAGCTCATGTTAACTCAGAAATCAATGTAAGTGTTAATTTCGAGTGAGGCACAGGTCCTTACTAGCAAATCCCTTGTGACTGCATGGTCCAAGTGGCAAGCTTGAGAGCCATACAATGTATTATAGAGCAAAAGAGATGGACAGGATTTCTGAGATGATCTGGTAAACTTGCTAACTTTAAAGAATAGGAAACCATGAGAGGTACAATGAAAAACCCCACAATCACTGAGGCCTCAAGAAAACCAGCCCTGGAAAAACAAAAAATGGAACAAGAAGTAAACATAACAGCTTTGTTGTCTCATCTTTATTAAATCAATCACTTAAGGGTCAATGCTTATTTACCATAATAGACAACAACAGCATAAATTATTTGCAAACTGAAGTTAAAAAATTTCTGCCACAAGGCCATTACAGCTGGGTATGTAAGAACACAGTTGCTCTCAAAACACACACATGCCCCATACACACATAAATATCACCCTACCCCAAGACCTAAAGAACACTTGAACTTCTCCATCTAACATACTTCCATGCATCTCTATAAATCAGAGGAGTCCTTTAACCACCTTCTGCCTCCATTTAAGTTTATCCCTATTAAAAGATGCAAGTGGGAATGCAGGCATATAATATGTTCAAGTCACATGGATTAAAATAATGCAATTCACAGCAAAAACCTCTTTAGCAAACTATATTCATCAACTAGAAAAAACTGGTATCTTTTGTGAAATAGAGATCAGAATGTTTACATCACGTAGCCATTCTCCTTATTTCTTAATCTTCATCAGTTTATCTAATGAATGTTTCTTTTCAACTCCTCTTAAATTATTGGCTTTATATTAAAATCCTTCCTTGGCTATATGAAACTACGCAACTTCAGGTTCACAGTTATCATCATCATCATTTGAAACGAACATTAGCAAAGCCCTATTTTTACTCCATGAATTGTACACTGAGATCACTACATAAGTTGCCTCGCTTATTCCCTATGAGAATTATGATTATTGTTGCTATGCTTCTACCTTTCAGATGAGGAAATTGAAGGTTGAGAGGATAGATTACAAGCTAGTGAGAGTCAGAAATGGATTCAAACCCAGTTTTGTCTTTCTCCATAGTTTAAGGTTTCTCTATAGTAAAAGGTTTCTCCTTAAACCCCTGACACTAGGAGGGCAGTTTTGTGGAACTGCCTTTAATTTTGCTCTCCCTAACATGGGTCTTCTTGGTGGCTCATCCTGCTTCCTTCTTCCTGGAGGAAGCTCAAATGCAGTTTTCCTGGCACTCTGCTGTCAGTGCTCTTGAGCATTATAATCAAAAGTGGCTGGGTTCAGTTCCACATTCACAACTCACAAGTGCTATGAATGTCAGTCTTCACGTTTGTGGAATAGAGATCAGAATGTTTACATCACATAGCCATTGTGGGGGATTGGAGGGCAGAGCCATGTCCAGTGTCCAACATCCAACATTGTGCCTGGGACAAAAGAGGCACTGAGATATCAGCGAGCCCCCTTTCTACACACAGTAGAAGCATGAATGAGTAACAGTAACACAATCACAAATGTGAAGAATGCTAAAGGCTCCACGACATATTTTTTGTGTTTTTGTTTTGTTTTTTTCAGAAAGGAAAAAGTATTTTCTAATTTCCTTTAATAGATAACAGTGGGAAAAGAACAAGATTGAGTTCTAGTTTCAAGCCTTCCATTTAGCAGCTGTATGACCTTGGGCCAAATCTTTTAGCCTATGGCTATTAATACTTCTCCTGCCTACATAAAGAGAGACCTAGAATAATTAACAAGGGGCAGCATGTGATAATCTATGTGATAGCATAGGTGTATGAGAGGACTGTATTTATGGAAGTATATATATATACTGAGTTGGAGTCTCACTGGGTCGCCCAGACTGGAGTGC